TTTGTCTGAGGAGTTAGCATTAGCTTAGTCCATATACCAAGCACATAATTGTATGCATGCAAAAACATTTATTTATTGATGAAATTTATATGGTGCCTATCTCCCCAATAGGGTGACTCTAAAATGTTTATATATTTAATCATTTCTCCCTAACTGGGCATAAATCCTAACATGATGAGACTATATTTTTAAAGGTGATAAGTTATCTCTTTTCACCCAGTAGTTAATGGAGCTACATAATAAAAACAAAAGCTTCTTTTAAAGTGTAATTTATGAACATACATGAAGAGACTTTGAGTGCTTAGGAACAGCATTCTGGTAAATGGTAAACGAAATTTTATAGCAATATTTTCCATTAGCCGATGTTAACCAGACAAACCTGTAAATTTCTCACTTACATTACAGTCCATTTGTTGTTAAGCAACTCAGTAAGCTGCTTTTTACAGGGGAGTGGGGGAGAGGTACCCTGAAGGCACATGATAAATTATTAATATTTTAGTTTATGAGGGCAATATAAAAGAATAGACAAACTCTAATACTTATTTATACTTACGGTTTCCCTCTCAACCTATTGAAAAGTCCGTTGATTTACTTTTCAAATAAAAAAAAAGAAAGAAATTTTAAATGTTTGTTGTGCAAGCAATTCTGTGTGCTCAGCATTATATGTGGTCTTTATATCTGTTTGAATTTACAGCAGCCTAAGAAATGCTTTAATAGAGTTTCATTTATGAACATTAGGATGAATAATCATAAAAAGAGGCAGCAAAAATTAAAACAAAAATGTATAGCTAGTGTACATGAGGATGTGCCTGTTTGGCAGCAGAGGGGAAGCTACTAAAATATAAATGAGCTCACTTAAGTGATTTTATGTATCCATCAACTGGCAATTTTGTTTGTTTCAGACAATAAAAAAAATATTGTTAGCTTTCTTTCTTTCTCAAGGAGCCATCTCAGTAGATTTAGCCTGTAATCACTTGTTGACAAGCTAGATATGATGTTAAGGCTATTGTAAATACTGTAGTGTGGAGAGACAATGTGGTTTAAGACTCTCCTCTGTGAAGTGGGTGGATAGGTGGGGGAATGGAGAGATTTAATATTTGCTATAGTCCTGATCTGTAAGGGACGTGGTGGCTCAGTGGCTAAGAAGCTGAGCTTGTTGATCGAAAGATCAACAGTTCAGTGGTTCGAATCCCTAGTGCCGCATAACGGGGTGAGCTCCTGTTACTTGTCCAGCTTCAGCCAACCTAGCAGTTCGAAAGCACGTAAAAAATGCAAGTAGAAAAAATAGGGACCACCTTTGCTGGGAAGGTAACAGTGTTCCGTGTGCCTTTGGCATTGAGTCATGCTGGCCACATGACCACAGAGACATCTTTGGACAGTGCTGGCTCTTCAGCTTTGAAACGGAGATGAGCACCGCCCCCTAGAGTCGGGAACAACTAGCACATATGTGCGAAGGGAACCTTTGCCTTTATTTATAGTCATTATCTAGCTATGGTCCTCAGCCATGCTGCCCAAGACCAGAAAAAAAAATGGTGCAAGTAGCAATCATGGTGCAAACATTAATCTCTTTGCATATATTTTCATTCATATATCAGTAAGCAAGTTATGTTTAATAAATTCACTACAGAAAGAAAAAAAAATATCTCAAGAAGAGCTACACATGGTAGACTACTTTGTATACCTTGGCCAATGGAACTCAGTGGAAGGTGATACAATAAAGGAAATTGAATGGTGTGTTAAATGTGGTTGGCAGGCATTTGACAAGCTAAGCGTAATTTTCAAGAACAACCTCCCCCTATGCCTGAAGAGAAAAGTTTTTGATCAGTGTGTGCTACCTGCTCTAACATATGCCGGTGAAACATGGACACTAACCTTACAATCAATGCAAAAGCTATGAGTGACACAAAGAGCAATGAAAAGATACATGCTCGGCATTACAAGACAAGATAGAACAACTTCTACATGGATTAGAGAACAAATGAAAGTATACAATATCATCAAGAGAGTAAATGAATTGAAATGGAAATGGACTGGTCACATAGCAAGAAGAATAGATGCAGTGGTGGGTTGCTACCGGTTTGCCCCGGATTGGGTGGAATGGTAGCGGCCATGGCGGGAGGCTCTGCCCACCCACCGGGACACCTCTCACATCGCAGAAGCTTCTGCGCATGTGCAGAAGTGTTGCGCACACACGTGAGCGGATGAGTGCCCACGAGCCCCAGTAGCGGCTGAAATTGAAACCCATAGAATGGATTCCACTTGATAAAAAGCATCTAGGAAAGAGACCTAAAACAAGATGGAATCGGCAACATCAGCAATATTGTAGACTCAATTGACAAAAGAAAGCTCAGGACCGTATTAGTTGGAAACATGCAAAAGAGGCCTTCATCCTGCAGTAGATAGACCAGTGGTGGGTTCCTCCCGGTTCTGCCCAGTTCCTCTGAGCTGGTAGCAGTGACAATATGATGTCACCGAACCGGTTCTGCCCCCCCTCCCCCCTGCCCCTCCAGCCACCCCCCACGTTATTCTTACCTTTTATTTGCCCCCACCCCCAATCTATTGCTGCCTCCTGAGTCCCAGATGATGGCTAGAAAGAAAAACACTTTAAATTCTTGCCACAGGGCTTCAAAGGGCCAGCCTACAGCTGATCAGTGTTAAAAGAAAATAAATGAGTAGACCAGTGCCTGCAAAAATAAATGGGTAGACCAGTGCCTGCAAAAATAAATGGGTAGATTGGTACAGCTCTGCAAGCAGTTAAAAACCTGGTAGACCAGTACCTCTGCTAAATCCTAAATAATTGTCACATGACCATCAAGCCACGCCGACAAAATAAGCCGATAAAACAGAACCGGTAGTAAAAAATAAGAACAAAATAAGCCAATAAAACAGAACCGGTAGTAAAAATTTTAGAACCCACTCCTGGGATAGACAATAGCTAAAAAGAGGAGGAGGAGGAGGAGGAGGAAGAAGAGGAGGAAGAGGAACCAATATGCAATAGTGAGGAGATATTTTTTCTCAGAAATAAAGTGAATGACTGACAGAATACCAAATAGGTTGTCCCCAGGAATTGGGAAGTTACAGTATAGATTGTGAGGACACATGCTCAGATTATCTGACCTTGACTATTAGCATTTCTGCTAATATTTCATATCATGTGTAAGTTTCTCAGGAACCCTACCTTATCACTGATACCATTAATTCAAGTAATCACCAAAAGATTCTCCCTAATTTTATTTCAAGGATCAATAGCTTCTCCTTATACATATTCCTAAAATAGTGGCCATTTCTGTCATAGAAGAAAACCACCCAGTACATATTGTGGAAAGTTTTTTAAAAAGATTATATATGAGTTTTGGATAGCTTTACATAAGAATATCAGAAAAATTAACACACCATATTGTGGCTTTTTCATTTTTATTCTCTGAAAACAATCATACATACATATATATTCCTACAAATTTAAAAATGTGATCTTAAGTGAGATGCAGCTAATTTTGCTTTTGGAAGTTTTATTTAAATAAGGAGCTTATTGTGGGTGACAGAAGGAAAGTTTGAAGAAAGTATAGTGTGGAAAATCTGGAATCTGCCAATATTAAAATTGGAAATGTTTACTTCAGCAAATGAAGGACATTAGTTCTGGAACTTGTCAGTGTAAGGAAAGATAATTTAGTAAGATTCAAATTCAGTACCAATATTTAGTGGCAAGGTGGTGGTGATGTTGAAGTTGATCATGATTGATAGCATCAACAGGCCAAATTTTTGGATGAATGATGTCCATGGTTCATTTTTATTGAATAAAATATCTTAAAATATGTAGACTATCATTGAGTTCTATTGCAACTGTAACACCTGAACATATTCAACTTTTCATAACATTCTCAGTTCTATTCTAAAGTATTCTTAATATTTTTTTTAAAAAATGAAAAGGAATACAATTTGGGCCTATGAACTCCAGAGAGAACAAGACAACTATAGGAAGGATCAGTAGTTAAATTTTCCAGCAGGGCTTGGGCATCGGTTCAAAAATGATGAGGTATGTATATTACTGGATTGTTTCCTTGAAAGGGAAGATGCTCTTCTATGAGCTAATGTCCAATGTTCAATTAGGCTGGAAGTCATGCCTTCTGAATCCAAATATGTGCTTGCTAATTTCAGAGGAGGCTGGCATCATCCAGTTCAATTCTATAATAGCTTCTTTGGATCTATATTTTACTTTGTTACTCCTGACAAACATTCTGGCTCATTTCTGAAAGCTATCTTGGATCCCCCAAGCCCTCCATTAGGAAGAGGGATTTGCAAATAGGCTCTGCACTGTATAATTTACAAACGGCTTTAATGAAAATTGAAAAAAGATACCAATTGATCAATCTCAATTTTAGCTAAATCATGTGTGGCCTTTTTAGTAAACAATATTTAATTTCTAACAGGCAAAATGGCACATAGCATTAAAAGTATCACATTAAAAGAATTATAATTCTTAAACTGGTAGAATTATAAACAAAAACAAGAGTTGCCATGCCAACTGTTCTGACAGTTGAGATGCAGTTCACAAAAGTTCATGCCACTTAATATAATTTGTGAGTTTGGGGGAATTTTATTACAATTTGGGCTATTTTTGTTGTTAGTTGTGAAGTCGTGTCCAACCCATCGCAATCCCATGGACAATGTTCCTTCAGGCTTTCCTGTCCTCTACCATCCTCTGGTGTCCATTTAAGCTCACACCTACTGCTTCAGTGACTCCATCCAGCCACCTCATTCTCTGTCGTCCCGTTCTTCTTTTGGGCTATTAGACTTCTTCTTTTTTTAAGAGTAGTCTAAATTATTTTAAGCTTTTCTTACTTTAAAGATATTTCAATAGTTCTTGAATAGGTCTTGAACCTTGATCTTTTTTACTATAAGCATTTTAAGCAACTAGACATATTGTACATCAATCATTTCTTTCCTAAATGGAATTGCTTAATTTCAACCATTTAAATTCTGTACATGTCTCTCAAAAATACCTGTGTAATAATGAGTTTCTTCCAATATTTGTACAGACAGCCAACAACTTACATCAACTGTGGGTTCTAAATTTTTTTACTACCGGTTCTGTGGGTGTGGCTTATTTTGAGGGTGTGGCTTGGTGGGGGGATAATGTGACTGTGTGGGCGTGGCCAATTTTTTTTAACTTTTAAAAGCATTTTTTCTACAACCTTAAGAAGTTGCAGAAAAAAATGCTTTTAGAAGCCTCTGACGATCCCAGCTGAGCCGCACGATCATCAGAGGCTTTTTTTTTTTAACTTTTAAAAGCATTTTTTCGGCCAAAGAGGTTGTAGAAAAAATGCTTTTAAAAGTAAAAAAAAAAAAAGCCTCTGATGAGGTAAGCGAGTGGCAACCGGGCCGGGGACCGGTTTGGAGGCATGGCCAGCCAATGTTATTACCGCTTCTCTAAACTACTACAAATTTTTACTACCAGTTCTTGCGAACCGGTGCAAACCGAGAGCAACCCACCACTGACATACACAGAAATATAACTAATAAGTTCTTCAGTCTGAACTTATAAGTAGCAAGGACAGAACTTAGGACCATCTCCATGAAAACATATGCCTTACTACTAAGACATTGACACATTTTGCAATTTATGCACAATAGATGTAAAATGTTATGAATTCCTTTTATTCATTATAAAAATGCAGCAGTATCTTATTAGCTCAAATTACCTTCAAATACTTGTGAAGTTATTCAGCAATCCATGACCTTGTTTATTAATATATGCATTAATTAAATTTGTAAGGCTGCCAATCTATCTGGCGAAATTCTGGGCACTGGGGCACCCTTTTTACTTTTACTTTTTACTTTTAAAAGTAAAAGTTATCTGCTACATGAAAAATATCATAAATTTTATCTTTGTGGCATCAAAATTAAACAGCCAATATATGTTTTAGCAGGAGCTAAGCAACACACATTTTAATACATGCTCCACCACAGAACGTCATTATTAGAATGTTTTGGACTAGATACTTGCTTTCAATCCAACTGGCATCACAGGTTTATTGTGGAGGGAAAAAATAGAAAGTGGAGTGTTATATGCACTGCTATAAGCTCCTGAAGGAAATGTGGGATTGTAGTTTTGAGCAGTTTTCTAAGCACGAACATAAATTGTCAGATGTGATGTAGGCTTTCCTTTGAGCGTATGCAACAAAAAATATTGTTGGAACAAAAAGAACGTAAGCGAGGTAAACAAAAAAATGTGCAAAGATTGGAGGTGACGAAATTTGTACTCTTTATAATGTTACATGAATGCAGTGTGGTTTTACAGAATAATACTGTAGGTTCATCTACTGTTATTAGTATTTAATCGTATTGTAAAAATAATGCTTTAAATAGCAAGATCTTTAAGAAGAAAACTCTATTACTTTAATGGTATGAGCTTCTGAAAGCTGATATAATCATGAGTCAAATCATTTTTTCCAGTCTTTTCTCCATGCCATCATTCTCTGGTATCTTTACTGACTCATCTTTAAAAGCACAAGTTAGACAAAGCAAAGTATATCTAACTTTGTAGGTTACAGATTCTACAAATAAGAAGTTCACAGACAAAAAGAAAAATCAGTTCAATGTTTTTGCTTACTTTCTTTTCTTTGTTCTCTATAGTTTCAAAATATCAAGGAAGACCAAAACAATTTTATTATTCTTGCTAGGGCATGACTTTTGCAATTGTATTGGTTGAACTTCACCATACTGATTATATTTTCAAAGTGCTAGGAAACATATGCAGTAGAAGAAACTCTCAATACAGAGTCTTATCAAGTATCATGCTGAGAACATAATCTACTCAAGAAAAACTATGTGCATTACACTTATGATTCCTCACCTCCAGGAACTCAACCATTAAAGACTTCCACTGAACATCTAATCACAGAGCTTCTCTGCATTGCCAAGTTATACCATCACCAATACAGATAAGTGACCTTGGAGACCAGAAATAGCTGATATAGCCCCTTAGAACTTAGAATATGTTTATTGTCACTTTGAATGTACACTAATCAACATACATTAAAATGAAATTTTGGTGCATACAGCTCTCAAAGGGTCACCCCCTCCAATATACGCTACATACAAATGACTAAATAAATAAATAAAAACAAAATTATGCATATACCCACATATATTATATGACACAGAGAAACAACACAGTCTGGTTCAGATGTATACATGTACATGGTGAGAAAAATGAATCTTGCGAGTTTACCAGATGGATGGCATAGGGAACAAAGCTGTTACAAAATCTGGAAGTCCTGCTAGAAATACTTCAAAACCTCCTCCCAGAGGGGAGCAACAGAAACAGACTGTAAAGTGAGTATGTGGGGTCTCTAACAATGCTTTGCTCATTAAGCACTTAGTGCTTATAAGCAGTATCCTGAATAACAGGAAGTAAGCTTCCTATAATCTTCTCAGCTGACTTACCACTCTCTGTATGGACTTTCTATCTGAGGCACTGCTGCCACCAAACCAAACCAAACCAAACCATGATGCAGTTTGTTAAAATGGTCTCAATTGTACCTCTGTAGAAAGTGGCCAAGGAGAAAGATGTATTCTCCTCATCCGACGCAAGAAATGCAGACGCTGGTTTGCACACTTTACTAAGGATGATGTGTGGAGAGACCAATTCAGATCATTAGTTATCTGCACCGTCAGATACTTAATACTGTTGACCACCTCTACAGCTTCATCCTTGATACTGAGTGGAATATGACTATGCTGGCTCTATCTAAAATCTGCAATGATGTCCTTTGTTTTATTTTAACATTTAGAACCAGGTTACTTTTATTGCACCAGTCCACCAGAGCCTTTACCTCTTCCCCTATAAGCATCTTCATTTTTATCCTGGATAAGACCCACCACTGCCGTTATTTACTCCTACTCACTGTGAATGTCATATCTGGTCACATTGTCCTACTCTAATTCCAAAATCATGTTTTGTTGCTTTGGTCAGCTCAAGCTTCATTGTCCAGTTTGCCTGATGCAATTCATTTTCTTCTAAATTCCATTTTTGACTGGCTAGAAACAGGAAGACCTACAGCATTTTTTTGTGCTTTACCTGAATTACACTGATTGTAGATTCTATTAAAGCACGCCTTCCTTAATTATTATAATAACACATACCTGACAGATAAAAAGATTTGGAAACCAGCAGATTTTTTTTTTAATTAGCATTTTTTTTCCTTCCTTGTGCTGCTTACTTTTCTGTGACTTGAGAGACTGCAAAAATAATAATAATAATGAAATGATGCACCAGTGGACTTAATTAAGAAAATAGCTGAAAAGTACGCAGTTCGGGGAAAGGAAAAAAAATCTGCTGAACATCCTACATTCTACAAGTTAGACACGTCTTGTAATCATTATCCTACAAAAGAAAACATGCTGTAACAGGACCTGCAGTGGTTGTTTCTCAGGAAAAGCAGAAAAAAGGAAAGAAAGGAAATTTAATTTTAAAGCTGCCTATATGTGTCTGGATATAACTTTGACGCTTTAACTTTACAATGCCAATTACTCTCCTGGAATATCAAAGTGGAGGATACAGAAACTGAGAAATTGCCCAATAAGAGGACATGATGATAGCTGGAGTCTAGACTTAAGGACAAAGCACCTCATCTGAACAGAATGTTCTCAAGTCAGCATATACAGCCAATTCTCCTTTACCAGCTAATCAGCATCCACTCACCAATACAGTAATACATAATAGTACACTATAGTAAAAAAATAAAATAAAATACACTTACATCCAAATTTCTGCACCATCATTATTATTTATTTATTTATTTATTTATTTATTTATTTATTTATTTATTTATTTTGTATACCGCCCTTCTCCCGAAGGACTTGGGGCGCTGAACAGCCAGCAGATAAAATACAGAAAATACAAAAATTAAAACAATATTAAAAACCAATTAAATTAATTTGGCCCACAGTTAAAACACCCCCATATTAAAAACCCCATAATTTAGCAATTTAAAATTAAAGCAACTTAAAAAAATATGGTCAGGTCAGCCCAGCTTGATGAAACAAAAACATCTTTAAGGCACAGTGGAAAGTGCACAGATCCGGGATCCGCCGTATCTCTGGGGGCAACTCGTTCCAGAGGGTCAGTGCCCCCACAGAAGGCTCTTCCCCTGGGGGCCGCCAGCCGACATTGTTTGGCTGACGGAACCCTGAGGAGCCCCTCTCTGTGGGAGCATACTGTCGGTGGGAGGCTACTGGCAGCAGAAGGTGGTCTCGTAAATACCTGGGCCCTAAGCCATGGAGCACTCTAAAGATGGTAACCAATATCTTGAAGCGCACCCAGAAGACCACTGGGAGCCAGTGCAGCTCACACAGGAGAGGTGTTACATGGGAGCACCGAGTCACCCCCATCACCACCTGCACGGCCACATTCTGGACCAGTTGGAGCCTCTGGGTGCTCCTCAAGGGGAGCCCTATGTAGAGAGCATTACAGTAGTCCAAGTGGGATGTGACGAGGGCATGACTGACTGTGCGTAAGGCATCCCGATCCAGAAAGGGACACAACTGGTGGATCAGGCAAACCTGATAAAAAGCCCCCCTGGCCACATCCGTCATATGCTCTTCAAAAGACATCTGTGTATCCAGGAGGACACCCAAGTTGCGAGCCCTCTCTGTGGGGGCCAATGACTCGCCCCTAAAAGTCAGTGATGGTACCAACTGACTATATTGGGATGCCGGAAACCACAGCCACTTGGTCTTGGACGGGTTGAGCCTGAGCCTGTTTCTCCCCATCCAGATTCGCACGGCCTCCAGGCACCGGGACATCACATCAAGGGCATCGTTGGGGTGGTCCGGGGTGGAGATGTACAGCTGAGTATCATCAGCGTACAGATGACACTTCATCCCAAAACCACAGATGATCTCATCCGGCGGCTTCACATAAATATTGAACAGAAGGAGCAAGAGAACCGACCCTTGTGGCACCCCACACACAAGGCACCTCAAGGTCGACCTCTGCCCCCCTGTCAAACGAACTGCGACCGGTCGGAGAGGAAGGAGGAGAACCACCGCAACACGGTGCCCCTTGTCCCCA